GGTTATTAAGAGATGAGCCAATCAGGGTGCAGTATAGCACCGATGAAACACACAACTTCCCTCTAGTTCCTTAATGCTTCCTTCCCCCACTATCATGACCTTACAAATCGCATTAGAATACGCACACTGCTACAAATCAGAGCCCACAACACAGGGAATCCAGGATAAACCCTTCAGGAACAAGGAGAATAGAGATACCAGGAGGATTAGGGGAAGGTGGGGGGAGAGTGGGGGAATTGATCTCAAGGGTCAACTTATAACCTCCTCCCAGGAGGACAAACAATGGACAAGTGGATGAAGGGCGATAGCGGATGATGTGGATATGAAAATAATCTAGAACTTATCAAGGGTTCATGGGGGGGGCAGGCGGGAGGAGGAGGGGGGGAAATGAGCTGATACAAAGGGCTCAAGTAGCAAGAAAATGCCTTGAAAATAATGATGGCAGCATATGTACAAATGTTTTGACACAATGGATGATTGTATGGATTGATATGAGCCCCCAAAAGTATTTAAAGATATATATATGCTTCATACAATTGATGTATGGCTTGTTATAAGAGCTGTTAAGAGCCCCCAATAAGATGATCCTTTAGTAAAAATACAGATTAAAAAAAAAAAGATGGTTCTAATCCCCACTGACGCAGAGCTTGTCATGGTTCAGGGCTGGGCTAAGCCGTCTGTATCCATTACCATATGAACCCACATGCATTGTGCAGAGGAAGTGTTTTGAAGCACTTTGGTTAACACCTCAGAGCCCTGGTGGCACAACGGTAAAGCACTCGGTTGGCTTAACTGGATGGATGGCTGTCCAAACCCACCAGCTGCTTCCCAGGAGAAACGTGTGGCATTCCACTTCCTTTAAAATGACAACCTTGGAAACGGGAGCAGTTCTGCCTGTGAGTTCCTATGGATCAGAGTGGACGGAACAAAACAAAACAAAAAATCTTTATTGAAGGACTAAGATTAAAAGGTGTATCTCTTACAAATGTTTGGCTCGACTTCGATACAAACCTCCCCTCCACTTTTAGTTTCATTGGATTTTTGTTTGAACAAAATGAAGCACAGCCCAAAACATCTTTAGGAAACCACTCATCTAGCCATGATTCTCAACAGTGCCCGAGAAACAGGGCTGGCAGCTCAGAGTTGAGTCAGAAGACCTCACCTAGGAAAAGGGCACAGGAGCACGGCAGGTGTCTGCTCCGTCCAGGGCCGCCTTCTGTCCCTTTGGCTGGCAGTCAGTTGATGAGCCACTGCACCGCCAGGGCTCTCAGGTGCTGAAAGCTGCCCTATCCCCCACCACTCGTCTGCTTTTGTGGCACTGCGGTGTTGCTGTGATGTAGGCTGTTACCCAACCTTTCAAATAGCATCAAGGTTGCAGTCGGGCTTCCAGCCTACGAACAGACTGGGAAGGACGAGGCTGTCTGCTTCTGAGGAACTGGTCACTGGACGCTTTACAAGTAGCGGCAGATCAAGCGCCAGAAGGTGAGCGTGGCGGGTAAAAGACAAAGTTGGCCCAGAGGAGAGCTGCTTCCTCAAAGTAGAGCCCACATGAATGTGGATGAAGCACAGCTTTGGGGACCTTCACCCGCTGATGGGGCACAACTCAAAGAGTAGAAATCCACTAATAAACATCTATTAATAGCCAGAATGTGAAATGGATGATGTATGAATCTAGGAAAATTGAAGATCACCAAAAATGAGATGGGACCCATAAAAGGTCAATATCCTAAGCACTAGTGAGCAGAAACGGCGTTGCAGTCAGCAGAGAACACTTGGAAAACTATCTTGAAGTTCAATGCTGTCTGTAAAGGTCTACATGCTTACAAGGAAGTTTAGGTAGAACTATTCTCATGTATCCACTGCCACCGGCACAGTTGCTTCCAACTCAGAGACCCTTTGAGGGAGTTGTCTCAGAAAGACCCAGGGGCAGTTCTAACCTCTCTGTAGGGTTATGATTTGGAAACAGCTCCCTGGCTAGGGTTGAGGCCATCCATCTTTGTGAGAGCAGAAAGCATAGCTTTCTTCAGCGAGATGGCTGGCGGGCTTTAACGCGTAACCAGCTTAGCAACCCAACACGCCAACAGGGTGCTTTGGGTTTACCACCAAGCCAGTCCAATTTCCCCAAGGCTCCTTCGGTCAATGCCAACAGAATTGCTCGGCCACAACGCTGTCCCTAACAGTGCGCACACTTCAGAGAACTTGACCACTACAGTACATGAAGAGTCCCAGTGGCGCGATGGCCAAGCATCCAGCCCCTAACAGAAAAGGCGGTCTGAACTGGCGGCTGGGCAGCAGTGAAGCAGAAAGACTGGGGGTGCTTCCACAAGGCTCCAGCTAAGAACATCCCTTGGGTTAGTTCTGTGCTTTCTTGTAGAATTAGTGAGCTGGAACCAACTGTATGGCACCCAAAGCCACGGCATGGCCCTTGGTTTGGTGACAGGCACTGCAGGATGGCTGGAGGGATGCCCCACGGGTCTTTCTGAGACAACTCCCTCAAAGGGTCTCTGAGTTGGAAGCAACTGTGCCGGTGGCAGTGGATACATGAGAATAGTTCTACTACCTAAACTTCCTTGTAAGCATGTAGACCTTTACAGACAGCATTGAACTTCAAGATAGTTTTCCAAGTGTTCTCTGCTGACTGCAACGCCATTTCTGTTCAGTTTGAGACACCTTGTAGATGAATTTGGTCTTTTTAGGAGTTCTAATAAGCTTTTGCTTTGTTTTAACTTTTTTTTTAGTACTCAACATAAAACAGGAGTATCTCAACTGTGATTTTTAAGAGGAAAAATAACTGATGAAATAAATCACGAAACAAATTTCCCTATCACTGCTCAGAGAGGCAACTACACTTTCCAGTTCAAATCATGTGATTGATTTTATGGCAATTTAAATGTACAAGCAATAAATGTATTCATGAGAATTCATTTGATTGCAGCATCAGAATAAAGGGCAGCTTGAGTGCTTTCAAAAAAAAAAGCACTTTCTTCTTTCGTATTAAGTACTAGAAATTAAACTAAAACTAACTTTCATTTCATTTCATTTCAGATTGCCTGGTGACAAATATCCCCTTTCATATCAGTGTTGACATGTTTTACATTATTATCAATTCCAAAAAGAGAAAAACAAAACTGCCACTGGCTCGGTTCTGACTCAGAATAATCCAAGGACAGGTTAGAAGTCCACCTGTGGGCTTCTGAGACTGTGACTGATGGCAGAGAGTGGTCAAACAAGAACTGACGGAAGTGGCAGCTGCTCGGGACCCACTCACCCTTCAGAATCCATTTACTTGCGCAACCAGACAAGCTCTTTGCCTGAGTCTGCAGAGTGTGTTCTGCCAGAGATGCCCTTCTTTCCCCTTTGCCTGATAGCCTGCCTGCCCAGCTCCTGGGTTCATGTTTCATTGCACCCTACACCTTGTCAGAGCTTTAAAATAACAATGGTCACACATTAATTTTGCCACCTTCTTCTCTACCCAGCCTCCTCCCAAATGTGCAAAGGTGTTAAAAGCCTGGGTATTATGAAGACCTCCAAGAGAAGCAGGTTTCTCCACATAAAAAAGAAGTAAAGAGAATAGCAAACATTTTTAAATTTAGAAATTTATTCTGTTTAATCCACAAGCTTTATATAGCTTTAGTTTAAAAAACAAAAAACTTGAAAAACGAAAACAAGAGAAACAGTGGAAACAAACACTATTTCAAAGTCTGGGCCCTTCCAGCCTTCCAAATGCAAGAGCTCTGAAAACTGTATACTGTATGCCAAATTGGAAGAACAAGACAAAACTATGACATTCAAAAAACAAAATTTTACATAGCTTGAAGGATCCTTCCTGGGACTAGTTAATTGTCTTTATAAAAGAGGAGGGAAAAACAAAACAAAAACCAGAATAGAATCAAATTCCAGTGTTCCAAATCAAATTGTCACACATCAATATAAACCCAGTGTCCTGGCAGATAACATGCTTTTGTTTTCTGTCTCTTTCTAGAGCTCTAATCCGGATTCATTTCAGCAGAGACTCCACAGGCAACAGGAAAGATCGTGGCATCAAATGTTCATTTATACTTTTGCCGTCGTTCAACAGTGGTCTTATTTCTGGGCAAGCTTACAAATCATAAGGTCAGAGTATAACTTAAATGGGCGCTAAGACTTCAATGACAAAAGCTTAAAAAAAAAAAAGAAAAAGAAAAACGCCTCTGAAATTGCCAGAGGCACTGATTAAAAGAAACCGGAAGAATGCCAACCATATTTAAACCCCCTTTTTTAAAAAAGGGATTTTTCTTTTTTTTTTGGCTTAAAATCTTTCACTCTAAATGAATTGATGTCAGCTGTCGATGAAAGAATGTCACTAATACACTGTGGACACCTTTTGCAATGTAAATCCATGCCCCCCTTTTTTTACATGGTGAACTTCAACCTAGCAATTATTATAACAAATGTTATAGTCTAAAGCTCAAACACATTTTAGCAATTTTGAAATTGAATTGCGTACAAACCAAATAAAATTTACATCGTAACAAACACTCCCTCCCGTCTAAGACTGTGGGGACACTTGAGCCTTCCGCATGGACCTCAGCGCCTTTTCCCGCAGGTGCTTTTCTAAGTCGTCCAGGTTGTCTTCCGCTTCGCTTTCAGTCTCCTGCAAAAGAGAGGACGGCCACAGTTTGTTCAGAAGCACTGGTGGGAGCTGCCGAGAACGGAGCCGACACAGACTGAGGCAAGAGCAAATGTGCAGGATGAGGTCGCCTTACTGTCCAGAGGGGCAGGCTTAGTCTGTTAGTAAGGCAACCTGTGGGTGTGGTCTATTTCCTTCTTTGTATTTTGAAGGTGGGAGAGAACTCAAGTTTTATTTTTCATTTATAGGCTTGTGCTGAGGACCAAGGTCACAGAACAATTCTACCATAGCTACAATGAAAGCCCTGTTTTTTTCATGCTTAGTTCTAACAGTTATCTCGTCAAATTCCCCAGTAAAAACAAATTAAAAGATCAAAGTGGAGTTTTGGATCATTTCCCCGGGGTTGCTTTGTATGACCCGAGATAGTGTTTTTGGGGTGGTGGTGGTTAAAAACTGCATTGAAAGGGCATGCACACACAATAAAACTTTAAGAAAAACAACCACTGCTCCTAATCTCTTACACATCTACTTACTACACACACAGTGACAGCTGGCTCTTTTGTGGTACTCTTTCTTGAAAACAACCCTAGTTAAAAGATAGCAAAAGCTGGCCAGTTTTATGTCCTCGTATTAATCCTGATGAGATGACATAATGAAAGAAGTATTAATTCCTGTTTTGATTGTTAGGAAGGCTCAAGGGAAACTTAACCAAGAAATTACTTTGGCCAGCTCTTGCTATCCAGTAATAAAAGATAATCCAGCTTAATTAACACTGAGCAAAACCCAACATAGACCATTTGCATTTCTCTAAAGATAAACAAGTGGCCACGGCCATTTAGAAAGACACCAAAAGCACGAAGGTGTCACTTAGGGCCCACCCAGATGACTGTAACCAGAGAGACGGAAAACACAGCAGATGTCCATGCAACCCAGCAATAAAAAGGGAGGTCATGTCAACGTATGCAGCACGCATGAATCTTGAATATATTATGTAAAGCAGACCATATATTGCATGGTTCCCTGGATAGGAAATGTCCAAGACAGGGAAATCCCAAGATGTAGTAGATGAGTGGTCAGTCACCCATAGCTGTGGGGGCAGGGAGAAATAGACAAAGACTGGGTTTTTGGAGCGATGAAACTGTTCTAAATTTGATTGTGGAGAGCAGCAGAAAGGTGTATGCACTGAAGCTCATTAAACGAACTAATTATATCACAATAAAGCTGTCATCGGAAAAACTCAAAACAAAAAGCTCTAATATGGTCAACCACTATGCTAAAGCAAAGATGGCAGTAAGATGGCGGGAAAACCAGATTACTGGAAGCAAAACATCCAGAGGGGACTTAAACTCTTGGTGTCTTCTTTAAACAATCTGTGTAGTTTTTCTTAAGCCGGAAACCCAATTTACTGTGTAATTTACTAAAACCACAATAAAATAAATATATGTGTATACACATACATATGTAAATATAAAGCACAAAAAAAACTAAAAATCTCCCCTAGGACTTTAATGGAAGCCATTTGAGACCTTAACCGTGGGTCCTGAAAAAATTCCTACTGTTGACAGATGACTAAAACCAGAAGCAAGCAACTGAACAGCTAATTATCACAAAACTCATTTAGCTCATTTTTATAATGAAGCGGTTAGCCAATTTGTATAGACACAAACCCGCCCATAAATAATACCTTCTTGGGCTGCGGCCCGGCCTCTGGCTCTTCTTGTGTGCACGTGGTTGCAGGGGCTGCAGTGGCTACGGGAGTGGCAGCAGCTGCTGTGGCTGCAGCCACAGCCTTTTCCTTCTTGTGTTTTTTGTGTTTCTTGTGCTTCTTATCCTTTTTGTGTTTCTTATCCTTCTTTTTCTTCTTTTTCTTCCCGCCTCCTTCTTGGTCCGAATTCTAAAATTTAAGTAGGTGAAAGCAAAAACTCAACTAAAGTTCTATCCCCTGCCCCAAAATAAGTTCTATTTCCTTCAGGGAACTCCTAAGAGGACACATCTCAAGATATCAGGTCACAGAGGGGGAACAAAGGGCCAATCATCAAGTGAAGAGTCCCAGAGATGGGTCCCTTACCTGCCGTTCCACATTGGAAACAAATTTTTGAGAGTAAGAGTCTATATCTCCACATGTATTGGAAACCTGCAGCTTATACAGCAGAAAGAGAAGGCTGGAGATTCAACTGGAGCTGAGTTCTGACTCCTGCAGTTATTAACTATTTGACCTTAAACAAATCACGCTCCCGAAATTTTCCTGCACCCTTTTTATATTTCTCAAATGGCTATCTAATTATACCTACCTAATAAAGCTGCTAGAACCCTGGTGGCACGATGGGTCTGTGTTGGTCTACTAATTGCACGGCTATCAGCTTGAACCCCCAGTCACTATGGATGCTGTCTGCTCTTGTAAATATTTTGTCTTAGAAAACCAAAGGGACAGTTTTGGTTGCTCTGAGCCAGAATAATGATGGCAATGGGCTTGTTCCTTGGATTTAGAATAAAACTGCAAATGTGGACTAAATGGGATTACCTGCAAACCATATTAGCTTGGTATGTAGCAGACTTTTAATAAATGACACTAGCCATTGTGCTATATGTTTGTTTTAATGACTTGTCTAAGTCACTCTGCTGGGAACTGAAAGGCTGATGGTTTAAACCTGTCCAGTGGCTCTAAGAAACATAAGGCAGTAGTTCTATTCTTAAACCAGTTTGCTATAAGTTGGAGTCAGAACGACCTCACACGCAACTAACATCAAACAACTAATTTTGCACAATACAAAAACCTGGCTAAGATCAGGCTTCTGACCCACAAAGAGGAAAATATAGTTGAATCCCCAGTATTTTAATATCCTAATAAAAAAACAAACAGAGAACAAAGAAAGTTACTTCCATGTAGCATGTGTAAGACAAAACTATATGATACAATAAAGTACTTTTCATCAAGTCTAATGTCTTTCAAGTCGCAAGATTCATTTTTTTAATGAATCAACTAAAGTTCTTTGTCTAAATGTCTGTTGTTGAAAAATCGGAATAAAAGTAGAGGAAAATTACAATCACCCACTCATCCCTCTTCTAAAATATTTAACTAGTCACAGATTACTTTTCCCCCCTGATATAAATGGAATCAAGTCACACACAACTGAAGATGGAAAAGTATTGTGATCTTAACTAGGTATCCCCAAATACATGAACTAAAAAAATAGCATAGCGATATTACTAAATTACTATTCCAACCCCCACCCCCTATAACAGAGCCAGAGACCCAGTTTTTCTAAGATAGTCTAACTGAAATCTCTAGAAGAAAATATTTTAAGACATATCAAAATTAGTAAGAAGTAATACTCTCAAGTCGTCTGAACTATCACCACTATATTTTTGTTTGAAATCCAATGGAGGCAAAAAAATAACTCTCTTTCTGCCCTTCAAGATAACCACTGGACACCCAACAGGCAGGTGTACATACCCTTGCCGGTGATAGGCTTGGTGTTGGGCTCTTAGCCTTTTTGACCGGTACCGCTGGTGACCAGTTAGTAGAGGGTGACTGAGACTGGACAGGGG